ATAAATAATATTATATTTGGTACGGTAATTTTCAAATGTTTTAACAGTGATTGCATTAACAGGTACAACCAGGAATTTTTACTGGTATGAAAGAAATATTTTCGAAAGGAACATTTTTAGACAGAAGTTTGTTCGAACAGAATTTTCTTCAAAATGAAATAATAAGAAATAAGCAACAAAAATCGCTAAGCAGTTAACATCTTCCCTATTTCTCACTTACACCTTCCCTTAAAAAAAACAAACGTTTACAAAAATCATTGTTTAACAAATTTAATTTCAAAGTTCCATTTAAGCAAATTTCCATTTGAAAAAAATTGTGTTCAAACACATGCCGTTGTAATGCAAAGATACTCTATGCAGGTATCTTTGTGTTGAAAATATTATGTTGCTAATCCACGTTGCTAATCTACTTCACAAGGAAGATAATGTAACAAGCAACCATCAAGGTTAGTTCAACGTTTAATTGTAAGAGAAAACATGGAGTTCTACCACCATGGACAGAAGACAGGAACTGCATAACAACATGACGTTAATACACAATAAAATTTGGTGTGCAAAACAATGCGCAACATTCAGTATTTTGTCCATGTCCAACACTCCTTCTCAAAATACTAAATAAAGCTAATTCATTGGTTTCACACCAATCATGTCTATAAGAATCTTGAATCTTTGCTGATATAGCCTGGCTGTCCTAGCCAGATACCATCTTCCTTTTGAGTAAACATAACACCCAAAAAGGACTTCAATTCACCAAGATCTTTTGTGTCAAAGTTTGATGAAATAGCCTACTTGACACTAGCAAAAATCCTAGAGTTCCTAGCAGCTAATAAGATATCGTCGACATAGACTGCAACGATAACCATCTCTCCTTCTGTAGTTGTATACATACATGGTTCACATGAGGACTGCTTAAACCCAAGACCCTTTAGGTGGCTGTCAAGTGCTGTGTTCCAGCATCGAGGAGACTGTTTTAGTCCATATAAACTTTTCTTCAATTTACACACAAGGTTTTCCTTTCAACAAACCCTTCTGGTTGTTTCATGAATACTTCTTCCTCCAACACTCCATTCAGAAAGGCTGTCGTCACGTCCATTTGATGCAACCGTAAATTGTATTTTGCAGCCATTGCAATGACTGTGCGCACTGACTCAGGTCTAACAACTGGACAGAATGTCTCATCATAGTCCAATCCATACTCATGTGAATCATAGTCCAATCCATACTTCTGTGAGTATCCTTGAGCAACTAACCGAGCTTTATGTCTCTTAATGTTTCCCTCAGCATTTACTTTGATCTTAAACACCCATTTGCTTCCTACAGCTTTTCTTCCTTCTGGCAGTTCTACTAAGTCCCAGACTTCGTTTTCATGAAGCGATTCGATTTCTTTATTCATCGCCGTTAACCATTGAGACTTCTGTGAGCTTGCCATAGCCTGTCTCACTGTACTGGGTTCTTCTAGATCTTGAGTCAAGCTTAACAACTCACCATATCGATTTGGTGGGCGTTTAACTCTCGCTGATCGTCTGACATCTAGCTCCTCATCTGATTCATCAACACCTTCATCATCATGATCATCAACACGATTCACTTCTTCATCGACGTCATTATCAATGAATTCCCGAAACACAGGTGTTGATTTCTGAGACATTCCAGTCTCCTTCTCAAGACCGAACCTGTTCTCTAATAGGTGTTGATTCCTGAGACATTTCAGCCTCCTTCTCAAAACCGAACTTGTTTTCATTAAACAGAACGTCTCTGCTGTAAATCACCCTATTAGTTTTCAAATTGTATAGGCGATAATCCTTGACATCGATTCCGTACCCCAGAAAAACGCATTTCTGTGTTTTTGAATCGAACTTCTGTCTTTCGTCTTTAGGAATGTGTGCATACGCAACACATCCAAACACTTTCAGGTGATCGACACTGGGTTTCGTACCAGTAAACACCTCAAATGGTGTAGTACCTTGAAGAACGTTAACAGGACTTCGATTCTGCAGATATACAGCTGTTGACACTGCTTCTGCCCAGAATTTTCGTGGGAGCTGTGCCTCAGCCAGCATGGAACGTGCTGCTTCCACAATAGTCCTGTTCTTCCTCTCCGCTACTCCATTCTGTTCTGGTGTTTTCGGAACAGTCAGTTCATGACGGATCCCCTCTTTCTTTAAATAACCTTCAAATTCATTTGAAGTAAACTCTCCACCGTTATCGGTGCGTAGGGCCTTAAGATGTTTTCCAGTTGACCTCTCAACCATTGCTTTCCATTCAAGGAAACACTTAAAAACATCATCCTTGTGCTTAAGGATATAAACCCAAGTGTATCGACTGAAATCGTCAATAAAAGTAAGGAAATAGTGAGCTCCACCAAGTGATTGTGTGCTGACCTTCACGCAGACATCACTGTGAACCAGGTCAAGTATCCCATTTCTTACCCTTTCACTTGACGGAAACTTGGTCCTGTGATGTTTGCCCTTTGCACATGGTTCACACAGTTCCCTATTTGACCGCTCATCATACTCAAGACCATCCACTAGATTTCCCACAGTCAACTTCTTGAGATTTTTAAAACCTAGGTGTCCGTAGCGTCTATGCCACAGTTCCTCACTTGTTTCTTTACCTCCGTTTGCTGTATTACATTGATCTTCATTGGCATAATGACACAAATGGTACAAACCACGTGACCGCACTCCCTTTGCCACAAGTTTACCGTTATTATCTTTTATTTCACAACCTTTGATATTGAAATAAACTTTCTTTCCAGCCTCAATTGCGTGGTCAACACTAAACAGATTACACTTGAGTTCAGGCACATAAAGCACATCATGCAGCGTGCATTCTTGATGCTTATTACCAGGCAACTTCATCCTTAGTTTGACAACACCACAGGCATGTGCCTTCAGATTCCGTCCATCTCCGAGTCCTATATTCAGAGGCTCTTCCAAGTTTGTCAACTGGACAAATTCAGATCTCCTGTAACACATATGACTTGTTGCTCCAGAATCAATAATCCATGTCACGACACCATTGCCTGTAGCTAAGGCATGCCGATGCCTCATTAACAGTCCCACACTTTCATTACTTGAGCATCTCTTAGCCTTAATCTCAGTGTGATTTGCCTTATTTTGTCTGTAAATATGTTTGCCTGATTCTTGCCTTTTTAACTCAGGACAATCTCTTTTAATGTGTCCAATTTTCTTACAATAATAACACTGGGGTCCTTTCTTAATTGTCTTCTCCTTCGACACAAGTGCTCTACTTGGTACTTCTTCCCTTCGTTGTGATATCTTTCGCTCTTCGTGAAGTAATCGTTCAGTTACAAGTTCCATCTTTGGAACTTCTGAGCAAGCCTCAAGAGCTGTTACCAACATATTGTAGGAGTTGGGAAGGCTAGCAAGTAGGTGAACCACCCTGTCTTCTTCATCAACGGCATCTCCTACCACAGCAAGCTCGTTGAAAATCTCCGTTAGAGTTTTAATGTGCTCATGCACAGAGTCCCCATCATTCATTCTAATTGTAATTAATCTCCTTCTCAGCGCCAGTCTGTTAGCCCATGTCTTCTTTTGAAACTGATCCCTCAGTTTTTCCCAGACAATCTTGGGTTCAACTGGATTCCCGATTAAATACAACAATGAAGTGTCCAACGCCAACACAATGATAGCCAAAGCCCTATCTCTCCTTACAGTAGATTTAGCAACCTTCTCTGATTCAGCTTCGTCAGGTGCAATTTCAGATCCAGTAACAATCCCCCAGAGTCCATCCTTCATCAAGGCCATCTGGCATTGAATTTTCCAGGTCGAATAATTTGCACCAACAAGAGGAATGATGCTTGTGTTCATGTTTGCCATTCTGGTAATTCTGCGAACACCGATTCAGAATAAAAACCACACAAAAATGGAATCAGCAACAGCTTAGCACAAGATAACGCTATCTGGGCCCATAACCTGTTGAAAATATTATGTTGCTAATCCACGTTGCTAATCCACTTCACAAGGAAGATAATGTAACAAGCAACCATCAAGGTTAGTTCAACGTTTAATTGTAAGAGAAAACATGGAGTTCTTCCAACATGGACAGAAGACAGGAACTGCATAACAACATGACGTTAATACACAATAAAATTTGGTGTGCAAAACAATGCGCAACATTCAGTATTTTGTCACTTTCCAACACTTTGCAGGTATAGATTATGCAAAAGTATGCTATGGAGGTTCATATGAAAAGTCATGAAAGTAATTTATGCCTGTGCAGTGATTTAATATTAAAATCTCTCAATGATTTATTGAGTTGCTTTTTTTATATGTTCAAGTGTTACAGGGTGATTTGATTTATTCATCACCCATTTATCATATCACAATCATCAGTTGATAAAGATTGCATGTGTTGAGAGATGAAATCTTCTTTTGTCTAGGGTTTAATGATACAAGTGAGCCTTCACAAACACACTGAACTCTTTTGTCAGGTTGACAAAACAGATTATTATACATTTATTTCACAATAAAGACAGCAATTCTCAACTGCTCACTTCCCTAACAGATAACTAGTCAATGAGAGATAGGTTGACAATGGGTAGAACATAACTCACTTCAGTAATTTGCAAGTCTGCATTTGTGCCACCTTGCTCTGTTCACAACAATGGCGAAGTCTGTGCACTGTACGGTACCTACTGTAAATAGTCTCTCCTAAGCTCTTTATGGTTTATCTCAATCATATATTCTGATCATACTATAGCTACATAAACACCTTGTCATATATCACTTACTCTTTCATCTATTCAACACCTGACTGACAACTCACTACAGATTCACACCACCACACAGTAATTCTAATCTCTTCACATTGGTCTATAATATAAATAATAGAAGACAAGCCTTTAGAATGTAAATTTTTTTTTATTTGTTGATCTTCATCAAATGATTAGAAATTCAAATATAATGCCTATCAAGCAAATTGTTAGTTATCAAATCAATCAATTCAGCTAATGCATTTCTTTTTAGAAACAGAATGCCATTTTACCAACTGTTTTTTTTAATTAAAAAATAACATTTACATCATGGGTAAGATTATTCATTAAAATGTTTTAAAATAATTATTGCAAAACAATTTTGTCATCTTCTATTTTGATAATGTATTCCATTTTTAAAGTATTATTGCATTTCTTTTCAAAAAGATTTGTATGATCACCATGAGTAAAGAGTTTGTGAAAATTTATAATTTGCTCCATGTGCTTAGAATCCAGTTTTAAAGTTACAATCTATTGCAAAATTACGCATAGTAAATTAATCCTTGATTGTTGACATTTCAGAAAAAAATCTTAAATGATCTTAAACCATATTATATCATCAATATAAACTAGACTATATATTTTTAAAAAAAATTAACATTTGTAAAAGTCATAAGCAGCTTAAACCTCTGATTTTATTTTGAACAAATCTCATGATAACATGCAAAGCTTAAAAGAAGCTAAAAAAGCTCCAAAAATAAAGTTTTACAATTCATTTTCTATTCAATTTATCACATGTAGAGGTACATAAAAAAGTAACCCCAAAAGATATGTAGAATATTATTAAAAGCAAGAAAGACCAACAATATAACCAAAGACCAGTTTATATTAATACATGCATTTGCTTGCCAATTTTGGATAATACCCAAAATGTACATTGTCCAAGCCAAAGGATATATTTAGATCAAATCACATTAGATGTGGAATGTATTTTAAATGTTCAATAGCTTTGACCACTGCAGAATAATAATGCAAAAGAAAATATACAGAAAGGTGGGGGGAGGAAAAGTGTGTGTGTGGGGGGGGGGGTAGGTTGAGAGTAAGACCCCCCCTAAAATTTGAAGATAGGAAAAAAATAGTATTAATCCTGAATCCTAACTTGTTTATTTATTTTAAAAAAAATTTTAGTGAAATATTTAAGTGATTATTATTTTTATTAACTACTGAAGTAACAGTGTGGTCCCTTGATCACATCTACCACAGTGATGCTATTTTTCTAGCCTAAGCAGACTTTTCCCAAAGTCAAACTGGCAAATTGCTAATAGTTGATCCTTATTAGATAAGTTTCTTTATTGATCCAAATAAAGTTAAATAAAACCTCTTGGGTCCTATTTAAATTATTCAATCTCTAACTACAGAATTTAAAATAGATGACAACAATATTAATAATCAGAATAAAGTTTTTTAAAATATCCTCCTTCATAATTCTTCTTATTGAAATATTAGAGCTGCCATGTTTTAGATCAACAAGTTTGTAACAATATTTTTCAATGACAATAACAATCATTTGAAGACTTTCTAATGCCTTAGAACATAAAACATGTATTCTTGTCATACTGTTTTAACATTTTTCAAATTGACACAAATTATAAAAAAATGTCCTTAAAATGTTGAAACTCTTACATGGCCAGCAAAGCTGAAAATACATTGCTTACTTTTAAGTAACAACACGGAGCTGCCAATAGTTGTAAAAATGCAAAATTTCAAGTACTTTTTGCAATACATGTACGGTACTATTAAAAAACTCTGCTATATTTATATACATAAATACTTACAATTTAAATATTTATAAACATTTATAATATAAATATATATAAAGAGAGTGAGACAATTAGGATACTTATTAAGGATTATAATAAGGTTTGAGTTTTCACCATTTTATCCTTCTGATCAAAGATAATTTGAAACCATTTATTTCAATAATTCCATGCTTTTCATTAACCCGTATCCATCAAGTTCCTAAGGTTAAGCAAATATACTCTTAATTTTAAGAGATTATAAAACAAACTTAAATAGTGGAATGTGAACATGGAATTACAGTGTTTTGAAAGTGAAATTTAAACACACCAAAGCTGTTTTTGAAAACTAAACTTAAATTTGTATTTATTTTCAGAAAAAATAGCAATCATAATTATTCGCTTTACACTTACACTAATCGGTCTTGTATTAAAATTACTGCATAAATGTACGTATTTTCTCTTCAATTTTTTTGCGACAAATTGGACAAACTGTAAGTGAGTCTGCACATGGTTTACAAGTGACATGATGGCCACATGGCTTAAATGTAACACACGCTTCTTTATCCAGGCAAATTTTACATTGCCGTAATTTTTTAAGAGCTTCATACTCCTTTAGCTGTTCATCTGAAAGCTGTGTTGATCTCAACAAATTTACAGAGCATTGACCACTTTTTGTTTCCTCACTGGAAGGGTTAAATATGTCATCCATGAGAGCTTCTACACTTTCAAATTTGCCTTGATTTAATAAAAGTCTTTTCTTTATTGACTTTTCCACCAATTCTAGTGGTACATCCATGTCAAGAACTGACTTTACTATTGGACTGCTCATCTCAGTAAATAAAGACGGTCTTGTTACCTGATAAGATAGAAGGCCATTTCTTTAAAAATATTTTCTATAATGTAATGATTTAATGTAATGAAAATGACATTTGTAATAGTTGTAGTTGTAGATATGTTGGAACAGGAAACAAGAAAATTTAGGACAAATATCTTGAAGTTTTTCAAATCAGAGTTTGCTTTAAGATGATAAATTCAGATCAAATAAATGTTTATACTTAATTTATTACCTGTGAATCAATTACTGGACTTTGCATTCGAGCAGGTATTGCCTTTGATGGTGGCTCTCTCTGGAATAAAAATAAGGCAGAGAACATTAATATGTCAATAGTTTTTTAATTTAAAAAAAACAGATAAATAAAGCAAACAGTCATATTTTTTACTAATTTAATTGTGCTGGAATAATCAATTATAAATGTTTTGTAATTATAAAATATTTACAGTGGAAGCCACAGTCTGTACTTGTCTTGGCCAAGACCCATCTTCATTCTTTACTTCTATGAAAATAATCTAAAGAAATTATGCAATTTGTGAATGAAATAGGAATGTAATTTTTAAATAAAAATTAATTTGTGATTAGGGTATGAGTGTCAAGAGTACGCACATTTTTCTGAATGACACTCAATGAGAGTATCTCTTGCATAATTCTAAAATTGTATATGCAATTAAACAAATGCAAAGTTGTTGTTTTTTTAGAATAAAGATTTTAGTCTTCAATGTTCATGTTCTAAATAACAAGTTCATTTATTTAATTTTATTAGAAAATATCCAATAAGTAAGACCAAAGGAAGCTTGAAGGAGCTAATCTGTATCATTTTATTTATTAATTATTAGTTTTTAAACTTTTATCTATCATGAAAAATCCATTAATTTGTGAAAATCTCAAAAGTTTATAGTTATAGGCTTATTTGATTTATTTTAGAGCAGCCACTTATTGGCCAAACTCCTAAAAGATGGTTAATTATATTTCAACATTAACACAATTATAAATTAGATTTTTTAAAATATAAAAATCATTTTTATCACCTGTTCATGTGCCTGTATTTTAGCATTTTATTTTGTGAAATTTATTTTAGCACATTATATATTTTTTTAAATCAATTAATGGCTGAACCAGGTTTACTTATCTACACAAATTAGTAGTTAAGTTTCTTCTTTAAATTACCTTTTCCCAGCATACTTTGTGTAATTCATGCAACAAATTATATTTTTTTAAACCATGAAATGAGAAATGCTTTTGTAATGAAGAAAAACACAAATGACCTGATCATTAAAAAGCCCAACATTTTCTAGTGTCATGTCTTTTGCAGTCAGTAATTGAGATTTATTACTCTGACGCTTCCATAGACGCACATCTTTTTCATCAGAAATCACAAAAATTTTACGCATTTCTTGTTCAAGCAATGCTGTTGATCAAATTTTTAAAAAAATTAAACATTTTTGTTTTGCATTTGCTGAGATTAAGTTAAAATTTACAAATAACAGGTGTTCTTTTTTAATAATTGCAATTTTCTTTGTAATATAATGACAACTTGTTAAGCGTAAACATCTTTACTTTTCCCCTTAACAACTTAAACTCCTGCTCTTATAATGTGAAGCAAGCCATGCTACTCTGTAAAGGAATCAAACAAATGGTAGTAGTCCACATTTTCATAACAGTAACATTGCTTGGCACTGTAACTATATATTAAAAATTGGAATCCGTTTTAATATTACAAAATATTAATTGATTTTTTTTTTTGCTTTAAAACAATTACTTGCTGAGATATACATTTTTTAATGAAATTGAAATAAAATTTAATTGTGTAGATTTTATTTGCAACTTATTTTTGATTTTGCTACATTTTATTATGTGCCATAAATCATAACAAATAGATAAAACCCTGAAATAGAGAAACTTACACTATTACATACCCACTTTATCTTCCCTGCTAAATGAAAAAGTTGTAATAAACTTTCCGTCAGACAGTTTTAGATCTAATGGGTAAACTTCAACCACACAAAGTTTTACAAAGTTGCCATGCTCAATGACTTTCCGTATAATAGGTTGCTAAGAAAAAAAAATATATTTTAACTACAAATAAATTAAATTTTCTAATTTTCGGACTCAAGGGAGAAGGAAAGGATAATTTCAAAGATAAAATATGTCTGAATATAAAACAAACACATTTTTCAGCACAAAATTAGCAGAAGAATGAACCATTGACTGTGCCATTTACCAACAGAAATATTTTATTTTAACTGATAACAAATTAAATGTGAGATAAAAGTTAATAAACAGGAATAATGTAGAGGTTAGGTGTACTCCATTCAATAAAAATTGATTAGTGTTAACTATTATTTGGATAATCTTAGTAAAACTATACAAGTCAAATTAAAATTCTAGATTTATATGATTTTGAATTCCTAGAGAACTATTCAAGAGCAACCAAGTAAAATATAATATCAATCTATTTCAAATCCATTAGAGTAAGCAACCACTGCCATTTCCAAACATATTTAAAACAAAAATTAAATTAGCTTTAAAGAACACATACCTGCCCTGGTTTAACACCATACCAAGAGGCCAATTTCTTGTAGGCATTCTCTGTAAGTAAAACATAGTCTTGATCCTGGATAAGATTTTTGCGTAACGTATTGGTGCCAGCTGTGTGATAGTCAAAGAATAATGATCTAGTTGCAATGAAAATCTAAAGTTATTTAAATTATTAATTGTGAAGAGTTTCAGAAAATTGGACTTTAATTCTTGCTTTTTCTGGCATGTTAATTAAATTTGCAAAAAGTATAGCAATTATTGTTTACATATAAAAAATGTATTAAATAACTAATAGTTATTGCACATGTTGATCTTGTTTATTTATTTGGCCTTAATTATTTTTGTTTATTGACCAATTAATACATTTTAATCAATCAATAGTTTAAATTCAAGTTAATTTACAAGAAAATTTTAATTAATCTCTTACTCATAATTAATAAGCTGTTGTCAATTGGCCCAGGAGACAAAGTAGGACCTTGTGCACTGTCCCACAGATTAAACCCAACATATCTTTTCCACAACTTAAACCAAGTCTCATCTATTAAATATCTGAAATAAAAAAAATTAACAAAAGTATTTTTTTAAATCTATGCATTTGTGCAAATAAAAGGTTCTGTCATTCATTATACTCTTGTTTTTCATACCGAATTTCGCCTTTCTTTAAGCTTGCTCCTAGACTTTGCCCTACAATCTTTTTCTCAATTAGAAGTGGAGAAGTTTCTTCTTTGATACTGAAAATCAAATTTAAAAAATATCTTTTTGAATAAATGTACTTAAAATTGACAAATTTTTTTATTGCTGCTATCAAAATTTAATTCATATGTATACTGTGTTACAGTCAGATCATGTGATGTAATTATGTGTCTGGTTGGTTTTTTTTCCTTTAGTTATTTCCTCTTTTATCACTCAAATTTTACTCAGCGACATAAAACGTCTGACCGCAGCGGTGTGTTGGCAAAAAAACCATGTGGGGTAAAAAAAGTGCTTACATCTGGTGAGCAGCTGAAGACTTTGTTTTTTTTAAAATAGGAGAGAGTTATAATTTTGATGAGTTGAGTGCTTCTTCTTATTGTGGACAGGAAATTCTTTTTTTCTGTTGTGAATGCCAGGCAGTTAGTCAGTGTTCTGGATTGTGTTTTACAGTGTATACATAATTAAAAAATACTGAACATTTTAAACCGCCTCTTGATTTTTTTTTGACCTGACAGTACACCTTAGTCTTTTAAGGTTAGGAGACAGCAACATAGTTCCAGACTCTTACATTGTTTTTGTGGCCATATGAAGGGGACCTACTCTTAGACGACGTTCTATTCACCACATACTGCAATGAGTTTAACTCTACAATACTCGACACCAAAATGTTTGAAAAGAAAAAAAGAGATGACCAAATCAGATATAATGTTAAATATTAATTTTGATGCTTTTATACTACTTTATATAAATCTATTTAATCTATTTAACAGTAAATACCACAAATAAATAACAGATTAAACAAAATATTTACCTGAGGTGGGATAAATCTTCACTGGCTTTGGCTTGTTCACTAATGAGATTAGAAAATACAAAATACAATTAAAAAGTGTTCCTTATGTAATTAAAACAATGTATTGAATAAAAATTCCAGAACAGGAAAACAAATTTTATATCTCTCCCCAACAGGTAAACAAATGAATTCATTTTGGTGCGGGGAACAGTGGTTCTCTAATTTTTCCTGTCACCACAAACCCACTCCCCATTTTTGGCTATGCACAGGCATCCTTTTCTTTGCCCTGTCATATATTTGAATATTTAATTAATAAACAAATGAAGCTTTTTACTTTAATAAACTTGATCAAGTCATATAGCTACTTTTTAAAGTAGAATAATTCAACAAGCCATAAACATTTTGTTGAGACCATTATAAAACATACTTCACAATCTTCTGCTATTTTGCAAACTCCATTTACTAAAACTAATGTTGTCTGTTCACAGCACTTTGCTTAGTTTATAATTTTTTTTGTTAATGGCCGCTGGTACCTCTGTTTCAAAGTTAGATCAAAGGTCTTTTCTCTCCGAATGTGACATAATTATATTTTCTTTCCCTGATGCCTAAAGGTAACTCACATTTAATGCTGAATCACAACTTAGATAGTTCTAATAAACTATCACTCATATATGTATCCAAAATCACCTTCGGTATCCCAATGCCCCCATACATCTACAGAACCTTTCAGCTGCCCCTCCCCACCACTGACCAATTTTTACAGCCCACTTTGAAATCCAGTGTGTTAGACTCAATTAATTCACACAAACAAAAATAATGCCCCAGCAAAATGTATTTTCCAAGATAAAAAATAAATTTAAAATATAAGCTTTGTATAAAATATATTCTTCATAATACTCTTATTTCATGACTATGTCTATTGAGTGTAAAGTTATTATTTTTAGTCTTTAAAAAAGTTGCTTTGTTTTATTTACACAACTTAAATTGTCGGTAGCCAGTAACTTTTTTTAGTTTTAAAAAAGACCAATACAATTTGTTTTTGACATTTAAAAAAAAAAAATCTCTCCCAAATTCCTCATTAATATGAATAATGTTTTGTACTGGAGTTTAATTTAAAATTCACAAACAGCATATGCCGTAAACAACATTATAACAAAAATGTATAATATCTTATGATTTTATTTAAAATTTCCTCACACTTACATTTTTATTGATTTTTTCATATGACCTTTCCCTGATATTTTTGGCCATGGTGAACCAAAAATTTTAGATTCTGCCACAACCATCTGTAATAATGGAATTTCAAGGGATAATTCTTTTTCTTATTACATTAATAATACTGACTAAATAGTTTTTATGCGTATTTCAAACAATTTTTATAAAAAAACAGACAATGAAAATATTCTAACAGAACAAATGTAAACTAAAGCACAGACATAGTATAATAATCAAATATTGGAATTTACCTGAGCTAAGTGCAAGCCAGCATCCTGTACTGTACATAACTTTCTATTTAAAAGATCTTGAGATTTCCCAGAGTAACATATCCACATTCTAACATCCCTCATGTCTGGTATCTTAAAACTATGCCGCATCACATGTTCAACAGTATCTAAATATAACATTTGATTGATTTGATTGCCAAAAAAATTAACATTATTTGGCAAAAAATTTAATGAAAAAATTTTTTTTATCATCTTATAAACATATTGAAACTAGAAAAGTCTCCAATGCAACATATACCTTGTGGCTGCTTATTGCATCTTGATGCTGCTTGCAATTGATTTTAGATATTTGTATAAAAATGTTTAAATTAAATTGAAACTTCAATTACAAAATGTGACAAATGCATTAAGAATCAATGTATCGTCAAAGTCAAAATGTGCTGCTACTAAATAAACTTTAACATACTTGAAGGTGACTGACATTAAATTTGACAAAATAATAGCAGCAGAGCTTTTTATTTTTCAAAATCACTTATTTAATTAGGTCTCCTATACACCATGCTGTGTTATTTACTACAGAAAATAAAAAGAAACATAAAATGACATCATACATTTCCTCAATCTTTCTTGAAAACGTTACAGATTTTTTGTACAGGTCATTAACATTTTCTGTTTCAGATTGTTCTTATTAAAGTAGTTTTACCTAAATAGTAGTCTAGTAATAAATTCATACTCTTTAACTTATTTTCTCCAGAGCTGGGAGGAGCTTTGGACAATTGATTTCCCCCATTTCTCAAGAAAGTAAGGATTATAACAAATAATATTTTGTCACTTTTGTTATGTATTTAGGCCTACTTATTATTAATTTTGAAAACAATTTTGTATTATCTATATGATCTTACCAATGCTATCAGATTTGCTGAATGCCATGGTAACAATATTTGATGTATCAAAATTATGACATAACTTCAGTTCTAAGAGATGGATCTCTACTTGTAATTTCTTCGGATCAGCCCCTTCAATCACCTTTCTCATAATTGGCTGCTACAAGTTTGTAAATAATAAACTCAATTAGTAACAAAATGTAACAGAAACAATTTTAAAAAACAACGGAATATAATTTTAAAATTCTCCCTAATTATGTGGCTTAAGATATTATTAAAACATTCAATGCATTAACATAATCAAGTTTTGTATGTACTCATATTTATTTCAATTTTTTAAGGATGGGGGTGGAGTTTGGTTATGATTAATTAAATTTAAAATAAGTGTGTGTATTAGGCTACTTCACCAGGGTCTTAACTAGAGTGATATAAAGACATGTACCAGGTTGCATAGTCAGTATGGGAGAGAGGAACATCAGTAGCTTTTCTCAGGACCACTTAAGATGAGGTGAAAAATGACCAAAAAATGCTTTTTTTTAAATTAAAGGTTAATTTCTTTTCTAAAATTCTGTTGTGCCTGATAATTTCAAAAACAATAGATATGGTCATGTTGCAACTCAATTCAAGAAAGTTTTGCCAATGAGTCTAATTTCTCCCATCCAGGTGCAAAAGTTCAAAAGTTTGTGAACCAGTAAGGAAGTAACTAATATTTCTTCACCTGGTTATAATTATAATCAATAACTCTTACTACCTCGCAACTCAAACAATTGCTATATAGACCTAATGGCAGTCGATTAATTGCTGAAGGTTACTTTATGTTTTTGAGCACTTCACTTAACATAGCTCCTAACTCACCTGCAACTTCATTGTCCCATACCAAGATGCCAGAAGTGTGTATGCCTCAACAGGCAAAACTTCATAGTCCACATTTTGTACCAGCCCTTCTCTTAAAACTTTTTCTTCAGCTGATTAACAAAAAGAAAAGAAAAGGTCTTATCTACTTTAAAGTCAAGTGTGAATGAAAATGTATGAAAAATGTATTCTTTAACAATTTGACCTTAAAGTACCGTTAATGATATGGTTTAGATTGACTTTGCACACATAAATGTTAATAGGTGCAAAATAAAAAAAAAACATTATGGTGTTGAGCACTTACCAAAGACTACTTGTGTAGCTAAAAAACTACAAATCCTATTTAAAAATTCAAAGGCTGCCACATGTTGTATTTTACCAAATTGCTTGGCTTCCTATTGTTAGCATTAAATTTTGTGTGCTCATCAAATTTCAATGGTATTAGTTTAACTTGTGTTAATACAAGTCATTTTAAATGCCAAAAAATGAGAGAAAGAATTGCAAATAGTTTGAAATAGTGTTAATACTATTCATTTTAAATGCCAAAATTGAGAGAAAGAAGTGCAATTACTTAGTCAAATTTCAAAGAGGATTATTACAAATCTTTTAAAAAGATTTCTGACTATCCTTCTCCAAAACATTCTGATTAACCCTAAATTATTTTCTCCCTTAGATCTCTTAGCTCCAACCGCTCCTATTATCCTCTCTCTCCTAATATCCTTATCTAAACTCCTTCACTCCCTTTTACTTCCAGATTCTCCCTACCCTATTCTCTTTCCCATGCCACCCCTACTTTCACAACCCTGGAACAGTGCTAAAACAAAATAATTTAATAATTTAGTAGTTTGGAGCAGATTATATATTTAAAAAATTATATTAAAAAAGAAGTGCTGCAGTTGTTGCTCTTATTTTATGAGTTAACATCAAATTCTTTTTTGAGAAGGTCAAAGCTTAAATAGTATGAGACATTTATTGAAATATCACATTAGGAAATGGCATCAGTGGGCCGTAGAGCTAAAACTCTTTATGCCCTCCACAAAGCAACCCCCCTAAGCCGTTATCAGGCCGCGAAGCGGCACATTGAAGATGTCCATTTGCCAGGACAGCCCCCACTCAAGTCTGCTCGATCGCGTTCGGCTGGAGGCCGCTCCAACCCAAGAACACCCGGTCGGTCCGACACTGTGCGTACACACAGTGCACACAATCGACTTTCCTTGGAGTCAGGATGGTAAATTTAAAACCTAATATCTTCTATCTTCCCCCACCCATCCTGGGGAAGCGTCGGACGCCCTTTAAGAGGGTTTCTACAGTGGGTTTCCACCACGCAACTAGTTTGCGAAGTAGCTAGGACAAAATGGTTGCCTATGAGCAGCATTCTCAGGGCTGCGGAAAATAGAATCATAGGCCAGAGACTTCCACTTTAGTCCCTCGCCTCAAATCCATTAGCGGCAACTTGTAATCATGGTCCCTACCCTGTTTCTGCCTTTACTTCCAAGTGTAAAATGTCGCAGTTGGCAGCCCTTCAGGTGCTGTTTTAATTGCGGCAGGTACCATGCATGTCCCTTGTCTGCCCACGCTGGACACGCAATAGTGGTTTTGTTGCCCGGGTAACGACGAGGGGATCCAGTGGCCGTCGCCTCCTAATCAGCAAGCCACCACAGACATGTCAACCGGAGCCCCGGGAAGTGAAACATTTACTAGTTTGTTCTATTTTTGATTGAGCTTTAGAAAGTTCCTCTTAAACTACCATGTCTCTATGATTATGACTATAGATAGTTACTTTGGTGAAATTTTCAAGATACTTCTAAAAATATAAATGTGATACAGTTACATAGGACCAATTGAATAAATGGTTTACAAAAACAACAAGATCAACTTTCTAGCTCAAGTTGTTCAAAAGTTATGAATTTTTTCGTGCAGACCTCAATACACATTTTTTTTTACCACTGACTTATTTTTCACCTAATCCCTTACACTCATATTTCTCAATATAATATACAGGATTTATTGAAAATATTATTAACTAATAAATAAAAATATAAAATATGCTTTAGAATTGCATTTTATTATTTAAATAATGGTTTTATTTTTTCCTATATTATATATTCAATAAAATTCACATTTCACCTAATCCCTTACACTCATATTTCTCAATATAATATACAGAATTTATTGAAAATATTATAAACTAATAAATAAAAATATAAAATATGCTTTAGAATTGCATTTTATTATTTAAATAATGGTTTTATTTTTTCCTATATTATATATTCAATAAAATTCGCATTTTTGGAGTGAAAAATAATTATAAATTGTTTAGTGTTAAAGATACAAATCTCAAATTTGGTGAGGTGTTGCAACTTATTAATTAAAAAAGCAAACAATTATTTGTATTTATATAAGAGAAAAACAAACGCAAAGACTTTTTCAGAGATTCTCACACTGTTATAATCAAGATTAATATTATTAAATTAAGTACTAATAAATATCAATGTATGTTAAAAACAATTTGCTTTTTAAATTATTTATTGGTCATATTTTCCATATATTTTGATTTGGATAACCAATTTAATTTAATGGATTTATTAACTAACCCACACCCTCTATCAATAATGTTACAAGTAATGTGCAGACAGGCATGGAAAATATGGAAAAAAAATTGAAAATAATTTTTAAAATGCACTTAAATTAAGAAAAGCTATGATCAATCAATCAATGCTTATACTTATATTTATATTATGTAAGTATAAGCATTTTAATTTTAGAAAATAAATAATATATTATAATATATATAATAAATACTTTTATACAAAGATGAGTTGTCAATAGGCCCAGGGTAAATTTCCATAGACTTCTCAAAGCCTGATACTGGTACTTGAGACAGACAGGTCCTTTCACTTACAATGGATTTACTTGTTTCACTTTCAATACTTTCAATTTCTATATAACTTGATTTTAAATCTAAAAGATTGTCATATCCAACAAACGCCTTCCACTGTGTGAACCAGTTTGTATTTATTAGATACCTATTAGAGATAAGAAATGCAATTAAGAAGTAATAACAATTAAAAACGATGTGGAAGTTATTTAGTTATAGTGATTTGTTTGGTTCGTGTTTTGTTTACAATTTATTATTTATTGTTCTGTTTGTTGTCATTCACTCCGCTTACTGTACACCCTCCCACTGACGATGCAAGTTGCGAGCATCAAATGTAACATAATCATAATACAAATTAAGGTTATTATAAAAATCCATAAAATACAATTACAAAATCTTCACTTACCAAATATCTCCCTTTTTAAGCTTTTTGTTGACACACCTTTTAATGATTTTTACTTGTTCTGATAATTCTGGTTGACCACCTTCAGCCATTTTCCAATTCCGAGAATCTGTCTAAATTTAGTAACAGCTTCCGGAACATCATTGGTGGGGAAAAGAACCAACGCTATATGCACTTTCTTGCATTAAATAGTTATGGCCTCTTTTTTTTCCTTCAGTTTATTATTTTAATAAACAATAAGTATCCAATGGGAATTTCCAGAGCTGGTGACGTCCGGGGCGGTTCGTGAGTTTGACGCTCCGTACATGAGACAATAATTTTAAATAACATATTATATTATTAATGGAACGAAAATGTAGAGCCCCCCCCCCCCCAACAACTTTTTCCCCCCCCCCTGCAACTTAACAGTCTCATATTCTACTTCATTTTTTAAAAAGAAAACAAAATATTCAATTAGTATTCCCCGAATCAGATTAAAGATTTAAATAAATAACATGACTTCATTCCTACAATTATTATGTCAACAATTATTCAAAACATATAATTATTAAAGTAGTTAAATAGGGTACGTGCGCCGTGCACATATTACAGCCAATAACGGGAAGGGGGTAAGAATGGTTTATCATTTTGTTATAGCCTACTGCGTTACATGGGTAGGAGTGGTAGAGAGCACAAAGGATACCGTCCCTTATCTGAAAACTACTCTTATGGAAGGGAATTTGTTGATTCTGGATGACAAAATGGCAAGTTTTGCAATGGCTGCCTCCACGTTAATTGGTCCTGAAGTAGCCGGGGGAAAGGGGGGGAGGGGGGGGGGACAGCGCGGATGCGACTACGCACAAGGAGATCTCGCATTTTTGTATATCTTCTGAAAACAATGAAGGGCGGTGAAGAGAAATGTTGTGGGTGTCAGGATCAGGTAGAAGAATGGCACGGTTTTTAAGGAAAACATGTTAGGCTGAGAGATAAAGAGGATGATAAGCGTGAGAATTAGATTGGTACTGTCGCCATTGCCGCTCGAACGAGGCCCGAAGGCATCAGCACAAGTAATATTTCTAATAAATTGAAAAGAGATGAAAGCACTGTCAACGGGTAGGACCAACATTGGAAATAGCCAATCATCTCAAGTGCCGGGTCCCAAAAGTCATCCTCCAATTGGCAAAGTCGACCAAGTCTAATTAGTTGAGAAAAGTGAATAGAAGTTTACAGACTTTAATGTGGAAAAAAGAGTAAATAGCAGACGGGGGTGAGTAGCAAGTCTTTGTGAAGTGTGACCGTAATGTCCAAAAATTTAGTGACATCTGAGAGACCAGTGATGTGAATTTAATTGGGGGTAGGGGTGAAAAGAGCCATAAAAAAGTTGATGAAAAGGCCAAGTTCACTCATCTCCATAGTGGTGACCCCAATACCATTATCAATGTAAATATAAATACTTACTTCCTTACTTCCTTAGGTAAGAAAAGAAGACGAAAGGACAACTACAAACCACCACCCCAGGCAGTTCCACAAATATTCCAATCTTGCCAATAACTGGCTGGAAATCATTTCCAGCATCTTTGATACCTTGATTTTTTTAATGAATGCCATTTACATCATTATTTCCACGAATCCATGTCGTTTGTAAATGATGATTCATTTAGTGCAAGTGTGAGGTACCGGTAATGATACTGGAGCTCAAACATCCAAACAGTTTGTAAATGATGATTCATTTAGTGCAAGTGTGAGGTACCGGTAATGATACTGGAGCTCAAACATCCAAACAGTTTGTAAATGATGATTCATTTAGTGCAAGTGTGAGGTACCGGTAATGATACTGGAGCTCAAACATCCAAACAGTTTGTAAATGATGATTCATTTAGTGCAAGTGTGAGGTACCGGTAATGATACTGGAGCTCAAACATCCAAACAGTTTGTAAATGATGATTCATTTAGTGCAAGTGTGAGGTACCGGTAATGATACTGGAGCTCAAACATCCAAACAGTTTGTAAATGATGATTCAATTAGTGCAAGTGTGAGGTACCGGTAATGATACTGGAGCTCAAACATCCAAACAGTTTGTAAATGATGATTCAATTAGTGCAAGTGTGAGGTACCGGTAATGATACTGGAGCTCAAACATCCAAACAGTTTGTAAATGATGATTCAATTAGTGCAAGTGTGAGGTACCGGTAATGATACTGGAGCTCAAACATCCAAACAGTTTGTAAATGATGATTCAATTAGTGCAAGTGTGAGGTACCGGTAATGATACTGGAGCTCAAACATCCAAACAGTTTGTAAATGATGATTCAATTAGTGCACGTGTGAGAACCGGTAACAACACTGAAGTTAAAACATCTAAGATATTCCTTCTCTTGACAAATCAATGAATTCAGATTGGTCACTTCAATATTTTTTATTAGCTTTCAGGTCTTGAATTATCTGGCTGCGGCGGTCAATCAGAGCTTAGTACTTTTGCCCAAACCATTGCCATGATGATATTATCAAGGATATCATATGTTTAATAGGCCCTTTACACCTGTACGTGACTTTAGGCTCACTTTCAAATGCAAAACTTTCCTTAGAGATTCAATCATGCCAGAAAAGCTATTTGAGAAAGGTCGAACACTATCAAGACAGCCCAGCGAGCCCTAGAAACTCCATGCTGCAATACACCACAGATCACTTTCGTTAGTATATCCTAGCGATGTGGATTAGCTGGAGCTATGGTGTACACAATTTAAACAACTCCAAAAAAATGTCCATGCATCCCTACATTAGTGACCTCCTTCTGGTGAAAAGACATATATATTTGCATCACTGTCAGATCCATGACCTCGGTAATCGTTTTTCAAAAAAAAAAAAATTAAAATTGTTTAAAGTCTCAGGGACCAACTCGGCCACATAATATCCGTAAAATCAGCAGATCCCAAAAAAAAAACAAAAAAAACAACCCTCTTCTCTATGTAAAACTCTCTCGTCTGAGGTTTTCGTAGCACATAGCATTTAACAATCGTGGTTTGTTCAGTGTATCTCACATTCGATGTGGCGTGAACCACACCAGAGACATATTTCGCAGATTTACACTCACACGCCATATTCTTAGAACTCGACCAGTACAAAGTCAAATAAATTCATTTTTAAGGCCGATTAGAGAACTATTGGGATTGAAGTCTTTCACCATTTTGTTGTGACTGTTGAATCTTTATCTCTTGTTTCCTGAGAATTTACTCATAATGAAAAATCAACTCCAGTAAGCCCTGAAAATTAAATTACAATAGTGGGGGAGGGGGGTGTCTTGCATAAGGTTCACTAAAGAAATAAAATGACATCTCCATCAAGATTTGATCACTTAAAAGTGACTCCTGAGAATGGCTTGTCTTCACTCTGATCTCCAATCCCCACCACTGACTTGATGTAGCACTGTTGGTGAGGCCTTGACTCTTCCTGCCATGGACAGTTCGGGATGAGATTTATCCACTCTTTTCAGTTCCCCATCCTGACATTGTTTAATATGCTGAAATTCTACCATTTTGCTGTTCAAAACAAAATAATTCATATTGCAAATTATATATATATATATATATATATATATATATATATATATATATATATATATATATAAGGCCTGCCTTGATTGGCTAAAGCAGAGGTTCTCAAACTTGTTTGTCTCGTAGACCACTTGCCGTATTTTTTGGCTTTGGGTAGACCACCTGCTTAACTGATATTGATTTTTTGCAAATTCATTAACTTCAAATGTATCTCTGACAGTCGGTATAGTGCTACCTACCACTTTTGAAAGATTAACATTTATAACGGTAGTGAAGTGTAGTGCGAAAAAACTTAAATAAAAACGTGTTAAGTTTTATACATTTATTAATTAAATTCAAATGAAAACGAACCTAATTAAAGATTTACTTTCTTTTACATAAAATAACTAAGCAAACAAAAAAAAAAAATGCTTTTTGTGTGAGGGATGAACCTGGTGTTTTAATAATACATTTTCAACATCTGGCATCAATTTAGTTCGGTTTAATCGCAAATCTCCGTAGTTAATGATGTCCAGTTTGATTCTATACTTTTTTGTGAGGAGATTGGTAACCGCGCTGAAACCCCTTTCCACTAGATGTCCAGTTTGATTCTATACTTTTTTGTTAGGAGATTGGTAACCGCGCTGAAACCCCTTTCCACTAGATGTCCAGTTTGATTCTATACTTTTTTGTTAGGAGATTGGTAACCGCGCTGAAACCCCTTTCCACTAGATGTTTCTATACTTTTTTGTTAGGAGATTGGTAACCGCGCTGAAACCCCTTTCCACTAGATGTCCAGTTTGATTCTATACTTTTTTGTTAGGAGATTGGTAACCGCGCTGAAACCCCTTTCCACTAGATGTCCAGTTTGTTTCTATACTTTTTTGTTAGGAGATTGGTAACCGCGCTGAAACCCCTTTCCACTAGATGTCCAGTTTCATTCTATACTTTTTTGTTAGGAGATTGGTAACCGCGCTGAAACCCCTTTCCACTAGATGTCCAGTTTGTTTCTATACTTTTTTGTTAGGAGATTGGTAACCGCGCTGAAACCCCTTTCCACTAGGTGTCCAGTTTGTTTCTATACTTTTTTGTTAGGAGATTGGTAACCGCGCTGAAACCCCTTTCCACTAGATGTCCAGTTTGTTTCTATACTTTTTTGTTAGGAGATTGGTAACTGCGCTGAAACCCCTTTCCCCTAGGTATGAGGATGGAAAAGCAATTAAAAACTTTCTCGCTCTATTCCATAACATGGGACAAGTAACAGGTATGTCTTTTTGAAGCCAGAATTGCTGATATCCGTTTCTAAACTGTACCTTGAGTTCTTGGTTAGTGCTTATTCCGATCAGTATACCTCTTGTAATGTGACATCGGTTTCTTCAATGTCACCATATGGTTTGATTATCCACTGAGGTATGACCATAGCCAAAACATCCTCAAACTTTGTTTCAAAATCTGAATAGAGGGCATTTAAATGTTGAACGTGGGTTGAAGAGTCGTCTTCCTGGCAGATTGTCTGGGAACTGGGAAAATTCGCACCGCCCAATGTTTTGCTTGATTAGCTTAATTCTGACAAGAAACGCTGAAATTATGGACTTTGCTTT